TAACTAAGTGCTTTTCTTGTTTTGTGAACTCGACATATTCTTCTTTCCCATCTTCAATAATTCGGCAAAATTTCTCCATTTCTTCATAAAAGTATATTATTTGCAATTTTTGCCTCACCACAAACTCTTCTTCAAATCTTAAATTTTTCATTTCTTTCTTTTCTTACTGAACGTTTAGAAAATTTAAGTTTTTGTCACTTCTCTTCTTAATTTTAATTTTTATAACTTTATTTAAACATTTTTATCTTTGATCTTCAAATTCTTCAAATGATTGTATCTTCAATAATTAAATCAAACATTGTTTTCGTTGTTAGATATTAACTTTTCTTCCTTTGGGTTCGTTTAATCATTAATCGATTTTTCTTTCTTCATTCTTTAAACGTTCTTCACGAAACTTTGTGAATATTTGATAATCTAAAATAAACCGCTGGCTCTAGGCTTAGGTAAATGACAAACTTGAGGAGAAAAATAAAATTGTGAGTGATTTTCTGAATTAATACTTAATTACGCACGTATTCAAAGTTGTTCATTCGGAATTTTGAGCTTGTGAAAAGCCCATTCATTCATTTTGAATATGTTTGAGCATAAAAGACAAATAACGCTAATATAAATTTTAGGAAAGTAATTATTGATGTTTTTAGTAAAATTTGGACAATAAGAGAGCAACATTCCAGTCGAGATTAGGTCACATGATACCCACCTACATTTTACCTTGTTTGATATTCGTTTCAGAAAGTTAAATTTTGATAATTTAATTCACTTGTGTAATTCGAAAACTTAATTTTTCGTGTGACTCAAGAGAAAACTATGTTGATGTCCTTCGTGTGTAATAATTTAAAATTACGGAAGGTTTGGCGACATTTGACATGTTTGGTAACCAATTATAATAAAAATTGAATATTTTTACAAGAATTAAAACTATGTAATCGCCTTCTGTGCTCATCCTTGAATTATTATTACCCTTCTTACAAGCATTTTACCACTTCTAACATTTCGTAATTACCTCCCATTTGCACAGCTTTTAAACTTGGCTTCTTACACCCCTCCAACCCTTTATTCCTCAGATAATTACTCCCGCCTTCACTCTCCCAAATCTCCCATTCCATATTTCACCCCAAAAAAAACTGGATGGCACCTTGTCGTGAAAATACGAAATTAATTTAAAGCAGATGCTTGGCAATTTTAATTAGTGAGATGGGTAAATGTAATTTGAGTTCGATTGGAAATTTTCATTGACGTTTTAACAGTGTTAACGTCGACCTTAATGGCTTAAACGCAGGAAAAACCGCTACTGACCTCCATCGAGTGCGATTACGGGTAAAAATAGTTAATGTGGCAATTCAATGCCTAATTGTGACTATTCTTTACGAGGAAAGAAGTTAATTTTATGCTAAAGTTGGGTATTTGGGAGCGGAGCAATTTTCTTTACCATTAAATGAAATTTAGCGAATCCGTTTAAGTGCTAATTTCGAGGCGGTGGAAGCAAAGGCCTGCCCGAGGGCACTGTCTTTGTGTATTGATACTTTGTACTGCAAAAAAAAAAAAACAAAAACTCTGAAAAAACCTTAATTTTTCAAAAAAATATCAACAAAAAATTATATTTTTGTGTCTAGAACTTTTTTCTAAATTTCAATATTTACATCATTTATTTTTTGGTAAACTTTTTTTTTAATTCCTTCATAACTATAGTTTTCGGTTCTTTAAAAAGTTCATTTCCAGAAATATTTAAACTGTCATTTTTTCTTTCTTCCATTTCAATTTTTTGATAAATTGCATTTTCTTCATATTTATTTTACTGCAAATTTCTACACTTTTCAAAGCCATAAATATAATCTTCATTTTCATATCAGAGATTACATTTGTACTATTTTCTTTAGTCTTCATTTTCTAAATTGTTTTTACTGTTCTGCAGTCTAGAACTACAGTTTTTTCATTCTTCGTGATTTTTATCATCAAACAATACTTTTTTCTTTTCAGTTTTAATAATTCCGTTGCTTCAACAATACTTTCTTCATTTCTAAACTTCCAGTCATTCATCTAAGTACAATATTTGCAATTTTAGCATCAGACTCTCCTTAAATTCTCATTTATTAAACACAGACTAAACATTTATATATAAATCTTCACATTCAACCTTTCAAAAAAATTAGTAGTATCTTTAATTCATTTAGCTTTGCTGATCCACTTTTGCTTTCTTCTTAGTTACTGTTTATCTTTTTGTTTCTTAAGTACTAACTTAATTTTCATAAAAATTCTAAAATTTCTTTTCGTATTAAACCTTCAAAAAAATTCAGCTTTCTTCTTTTTTCAGTATTTGTCATTCTCTTCTCACTTTTTGTGTTTTTATTTTTGTTATCTTCATTACGAACCTTCGATTTTTTTGTGCGTTAATATTTAGAAATATTTAAACATTATTTATTATTTTCGATTTCTTTAAATAATATCATTTTGAGCCAAGATTTGGTAACAGTTTTTTCATTATTTCCACTCGCATCTTGATTTTTATAAAACTTTGTTTTTTTCATTCTTTGTCTTGGTTTTGTTCATTCACGCCTTCCTCACCAAACTCTATAGACATTTAAAAATTGAAAATAAACTTAACTTTTTTAATTACATTTTAAAATGATAAACACCACTAACTACTTGTTTTGTGAACTAAACTTTTACACGTAAATCTTTAGATTTTTTATTTCATTCTTTTCTTATTGAATATTTAGAAAATTCAAGTTGCTCTTTTCTTCTCTCAGTTTTTGTAATTTCGCTTCTTACTTTTCATTTTTATAACATTTAAATTTTATCTTTGATCTTCAAATAATTTTGAGCTTCAATATAAAACATTTTCTACATTATTTTCATCTCGCATTTTCAATTAAATAAGACATTGTACAACATTTGCAATTTTTGACTCAAACTTTCCAATTTGAAAATCTTTAGATTTTTTTTTTCTTTGTTATAAGACCTTTAGAAAATTTAAATAGCTTTCATCATTTCTCAATGTTTGTCATTTTTCTTCTTACATTTTCATTTACTTTTTCATTTTTTATAACATTTGTGTTTTTTGCTATCTTCATTCATTTAGAAATATTTAAACAAATATTTATTGTTTTTGATTTCCTCAAATTCTATCATATTGAGTTCAGATTTGGAAACAGTTTCATTATTTCCACCAGCACCTCCATTTTTATAAAACTTTGTTTTTTTTCATTCTTCGTTTTTGTTTTGTTCATTCAATTAAAAATAAACTTGACTTAAAAAAAATTAATTGAATTTTAAAATGATAAACACAATTAACTACTTTTATTGTTTTGAGAACGAGACTTTCATTCATAGACATTTGTTATTTAAAACATTCAAACATTCTTTATCTTTGATCTTCAAATTCTTCAAATGATTTTGAAGAATTTTGAGCTTAAATATAACATTTTCTCCATTATTTCCATCTCGCATCTTCAATTACATAAAACATTGTGCAACACTTGCAATTTTTGCCTCAAACTTTTTTTCAATTTGAAAATCTTTAAATTTTTTCTTTTTTTCTTTTGTATAAGACCTATAGAAAATTTAAATAACTTTCATCTTTCATCAATGTTTGTCATTTTTCTTCTTACATTTTCATTTTCATAACATTTGTGTTTTTATTTTCACTATCATCATTTTTTTTAAATATTTAAACAAATATTTATTGTTTTTGATTTCCTCAAATTCTATCATATTGAGTACAGATTTGGAAACAGTTTCATTATTTTCACCAGCACCTTAATTTTTATAAAACTTTGTTTTTTTGATTCTTCGTTTTTGTTTTGTTCATTTAATTGAAAATAAACATGACTTAAAAAATTTTAATTGAATTTTATAATAAACACAATTAACTACTTTTCTTGTTTTGTGAACAAGACTTTTCTTTAATACGTAAATCTTTAGATTTTTCATTTCATTCTTTTCTTACTGAATCGTTAGAAAATTTAAGTTGCTCTTTTCATCTCTCAATTTTTGTCATTTAAAACATTTAAACATTCTTTATCTTTGATCTTCAAATTCTTCAAATAACGTTGAGCTTGAATATAACATTTTCTTCATTTTTATCTATCTCGCATCTTCAATTACATAAAACATTGAGCAACATTTGCAATTTTTTACTCAAACTTTTCTTCAATTTGAGAATCTTTAGATGTATTTTTTTCTTTCTTATAAGACCTTTAGAAAATTTAAAAAGCGTTCATCTTTTCTCATGTTTGTCATTTGTCTTCTTACTTTTTTATTTTCATAACATTTGTGTTTTTATTTTTTACTATCCTCATTCATTTAGAAATATTTAAACAAATATTTGTTCTTTTTGATTTCCTCAAACTCTATCATATTGAGTTAAAGTTTCTTCATTATTTCCACATCGCATCTGTAACATAAAACTTTGTGTTTTTTCATTCTTCGTGTTTACTTTTTTGGCTTTTTTACCACCAAACTTTATAAACGTTGGCTTAGAATTTTTTCATAAAATTTAAAAATAATAAACACATTTAACTTATTTTCTTGTTTTATTTTCATTTTTAGCTCAAGAATATACAAAGCAAAGTAAAAAATGCTGCGACAATCATTATTCAAACAACCTCCCTTGTAGTGTTTTTCCTCCCCTTATGAAAATCATTCCGCAGCCCCTAATGCCTGCACTCGATCTCATCAAGCAAGACATGATTAAGCTGTTGTAATCCTGCCGACAATACCGCTTAAACCAATAAGATTACCAAATTAAAGGATAACACCCGACCTATTAATCAAAGAAGGTCCTTTGTGACCCCCGGAAGCTTGAAAAACAAAGGCCTAGATTACTCAACGTTTCGTGAAAGGCTCACCTTAGATTTCCATACGCACATACGTAACGAGCGAATTTTTGGGTAATAAAACCGAAATTAATTAAGACTTCACGGATGACCTCTTTATTCAATTCCGGAGTCTTTATATAAATTGAAACGGTTCCGTTTAATGGCACACCGGCCGTTCAACAGTCCTGGAATAACCCGTCCAAGGAGGTTGAGCCGAAATGAAGATTCAATTCCTTCTATTTTGTGTTTTGTGCGCGGTTGAAGGGCAGAATTACGTTCCGGTGATTAAAAACGGAGTTCCGGTTGATACACCGGAAGTGCAAGCGGCCAAAGCGGCGCACTTTGAAGCCTACGAAAGGGCCAAAATACTAGCAGCGAAGAGACCCTCAACCGGAAAATATAGAGAGTACAAAGTAGCAAAAAATCAACAACAACAACAATATCAACAACAAAGATACTACCAACCAGCCCATTATGAAAATCACGTGATTTATGAAGAACCTCAGCACCACTACGCCCTGGCCGCCTATTCCTCGGGTAATTATTTCACTCATTTGTTTAATTAATTCAAATCAAATGGAGAATCTCGACGAAAGTTAATTTAATTCTGCACTAATTTGGCTTAATTTCTGCAATAAGTTTATTCATTATTCATTTCGTAACAAAGATTTCAACGCCGCTAAAGTTACAATTAATTTGAATTAATTTCTTAACAGAATGACATCTTATTAGATAGAAAACAACTTTAAAGTTATTTCTTTTCCTCTTTCTGCTTCACTGGCCGCTTTTTTTTCGCTTTCATTAATAAACATCTTAAATGGTGCAGTTGGTAGGGCATCAAAATGTATAACAAATTCTAAAGAAATTTACTCACAATTAAAAAATACAACTTCTTGTTTTCTACCACTTGCTTATCAATGATAAAAAACTTCCTATTACTGTTATTATTGGTCACAACCAATATAAAAAAGTCGAAAAAAGCCCCACTAATTGATAAAAAATCCGTACTGGTGCAGTTGGTAGGGCGTAAAAAATTTTAATATGCTTTAACCATCTTAATTTGACTTAATTTGTGCAATAAGTTTATTCATTATTCATTTCGTAACAAAGATTTCAACGCCGCTAAAAATTACAATTAATTTGAATCAATTTCTCAACAGAATGACATCTTCGCAAATCGACGTTTCGTCATAAATTGTAATTTCTAGACTAAAACAATTATCGTAATTAATGAGCTTTTAGTTGTAGCATTTAGTTATTACAGTATCCAGGTCGCTTGATATTTATCGACGTTAATAATTATATTTGGAATAATAAAATTAATACACAAATGAACACAAAATCTATTTGATGAATTGACAGAAATTTATGGATATTTCGCAGCAGAATGATAATAATTCATTTATAAAGCAAATTGTTAACTTACAGACAATTAATTAATGACATAGGCCGGAAAAGTACTTCTTTACGGACTATTGAACCAATTTCAGACAAATTCTATTGAATAAAGAAGTTTTTTTTTGACTTTTTTTTAAATAAGCCATTATCTAAAAAACAATGTACTAAAAAGTTGACCGCCCCCCAAGCTTTCATAAATTTTAAAAACTTAAACTTTAAGCAAAAATGTTATCTTCTCTGAAACATTTTTTTTTTACTTTTTAGTACATTTTTTTTAAATCAAAGCTAACTTTTAAATAATATTTTTTCCGAAATATATTTTTATTTGAATTGGCAACAGTAAATACTGTAAAGTGACCTGAAAATCGCCGATTTTCATTCCACAATGATGCCAACTCAATTTTATTAACCGAGCAAAAAGCTGTAAACAATACTAATTACATGCAACCCACATACTTAAATTGATACCACTATCAAGCTTCATACTTCAAATACCGTTTATTACGTCCCTGCCTGATAACTCTTATCAACGCAAATAGCGTTTGAATACTAGAATTAGTGTTGTCAGATCACAAAAATAAAATTCACCAAATCCGAGTTAAAAAAGTTGTCAAATTTACACCTACTTTCACCAGATTCTAAGATTACGATTTAAATCCTTGCAATAATATCGAAAGCTTTTTTTACATAAAATTTGTGGTTAAATCTTAAAATTAAAGTAAAAAATCATAGTATAATCTTTTCTTTGTGATTTTTGACTCGATATGGCAAAATCTCGCAAAATTTTCAGCTTAAACTATCGAAAAAGACAAAAATAACATTACTTTCAAACAAAATTTTGCTAAATAATTGCGTTTCTAGCTGAAAAATGTATTAAAACGCTCGAAAAATGCAAAAATAATATAATTTTTGACTTAATTTTTTGAATTTTTGGTTTGGTTAGTACAAAAACGTGCTCAACAACATTTTCGACCAAATTTTGTAGTTTCTTAGCTTATTGTTGTCTTAATTGTGCTTAAAAATCAGTTAAATCAAGTGAAACAAACAAAATACCAACAAAACAATTCTTCTTTGTGATTTTTAAGTGTTTTTGGTCAAGATTTTGCGAGCCTCTGATTCAAAAACGAAGTAAGTCAAGCAAAAGAAACCATAAAATAATATCAATTTCGATTTAAGTTAATTTATGTTAATTTTTAGCCTATCTAAAAATTTTCAAAATTTTTTGTTATTCAAAAACACTTAAAAAAGACAAAAATTAAGCCGAGTTTAGCCTGTTTTGTTGAATTTTTAACGAAATTATACAAAATAATTATGTTACATAAAATAATTTCAATTTTGATTTGAGTTTGTAATTT